GCAGTCTAGCCGTACTTATTTTCGATTTGACTGCCAGTCTGGCCATTTATAATAATATACGTTGGGAATTGTGAACATACACTTTTAGTGGGCAGTACTGTAATGTATATGTATATGAGACGAAACCAGGTACCTTAAATGACAGGGCATGTGTCGTAAACAGGTAGTTTTTTAATGTTAATAGGGCCTAAGATAAGTACGGCTAGACTGGCAGTCTAGCCGTACTTAAGTACGGGTAGACAGCCAGGCTAGCCGTACTTAAGTACGGGTAGACAGCCAGGCTAGCCGTACTTAAGGATGGCTAGACTGTCAGGCTAGCCGTACTTAATATTGATGGTTGAATTGTAAATGAAATTTTTAGTTCGCATTGCCTAAAGTATTTGTATTTCAGACAAAACCAAAAGCTGACTTGCATGTATTTGAACCTGAATAATTACTAAATCTAGATCTAATGAGACCTGTGTACTTTACAGTTGGGCCAAACCCAGATCTAAGTACGGCTAGACTCTCAGTCTATCCGTACTTAAGTACGGCTAGCCACTTATTTACTTGAAAACAATTAATTTGCAAGGGTTTAAGTGGCCATACATGTGTGTTCTATATACAGCAAAAAGTAGGGCAGTTTAGCCTTCCGCCTCAAACTCAAATCAATGACAATGCATCTGATCTGTGTGCGTGCAGGTGCACTGGGCTATACTTCATAGGCCTTGGCCTTGGCGTAGATTAGGCCTAGAAAGTGGCTATTCTCACCCGAAAGTGGCTATTCTCACCCGCCCGGAAGTTCTCGCAAGATCAACTCCTCCCCTCTTCTCTCTCTCTCTCGTCTCTTTCTGAATACTGTCTATCGGTGTGGACGATCAAATTGACCAAAACAAAGTAAAAAAATGATGTTAAAACACAAAAGTAAATTAATTTGGTTGTCTACAAAGATGCAACGGCTATTTAACTTTTCGAATCGAGCCGAACTACGCGGGTCGCCATTTTGTTTTGCCCGGAAATTCTCGCGCTACTCCTCTCTCTCTTTCTCTCTCTCTCTCCACTGCCTACAGACAAAATTGTACGCTTTTAGTAGGCTACAGTTGTAATGGAACGTTTGTTCACGGCACAGAATTCTACAATTTTTCTGTTATCACAGTGTAGAATTCTGTGGTTTAGGGTGAACGCAAAATTTGGTGAACGCGCACCGGGTGAGAATAGCCACAAGACTCGCCTGCACTATTCTCACTCCGGGTGAGAATAGAGGTGGCCTTCTCACCCGCCCGGAAGTTCTCGCAAGATCAACTCCTCCCCTCTTCTCTCTCTGTCTCTTTCTGAATACTGTCTATCGCCACTATCGGTGTGGACGATCAAATTGACCAAAACAAAGTTAAAAAATGATGTTAAAACACAAAAGTAAATTAATTTGGTTGTATACAAAGATGCTACGGCTATTTAATAAAACTTTTCGAATCGAGCCGAATTACGCGGGTCGCCATTTTGTTTTGCCCGGAAATTCTCGCGCTACTCCTCTCTCTCTTTCTCTCTCTCTCTCCACTGCCCACAGACAAAATTGTACGCTTTTAGTAGGCTACAGTTGTAATGGAACGTTTGTTCACGGCACAGAATTCTACAATTTTTCTGTTATCACAGTGTAGAATTCTGTGGTTTAGGGTGAACGCAAAATTTGGTGAACGCGCACCAGGTGAGAATAGCCACAAGACTCGCCTGCACTATTCTCACTCCGGGTGAGAATAGAGGTGGCCTATTTGGCCTTAGAAAGGCCGGCGCTTTTTCGGTAGTTCCCACCCCGCATTTGTTATTCGCCGGTATTGGCCCCAAGAGTAGGGGGGTTTCAGGGGGGCTTGCCCCCCTGACCTAATAAAAACATGGTGGGGGGTTTCAGGGGGGCATGCCCCCCTGAATTTTACCACAATTTAATGTTTTGCAGTTGTTAGGTTTGATATCTTAGCTTGCCGCGAATCAAACGTATATATATCTAGATGTAGGTCAGACTCAATCAAATAAGGGGGGTGGGAACTACCGAAAAAGCGCCGAAAGGCCTAAGACCTAAGACTAAAAATTTACTAAACTTATCAATTATAACTGATTCAACAAATCACTGTCTAGATCTAGATTCTAATTACTCTAAAAGAAACCCTAGATCTAGATTACCTAGATCTAGATCTAGTCTACTAATCTTCTAGCTAATGCCTCGCGTCACTTGCGAACTTCAACTTTCAAGCAACATCAGAGCAAAAAAGGAAGGCGAGAAACCCTGCTGGGCAAGTGTAAACAAAATGTTATCGTTATAAGAATCTAATAGATGACAAATTAAATCTATAGACTCATTACCTTTTGATTTGCTTTGATACCAGCAGCTTTTGCAAGTTTTTGAAGCTCGTGATACTTCATTGTTTCAAAATGTAGATCTATATCCTCGCCAGGTTCCATGGTGGGCATTTTGTTGCGTGTTTGACAATGTTTTCATCCAAGTTTCATTCAAGTCTCAAGTTTCGCTTCCGCTTCTCCGGGGTAAGGTAACTCTAGGTAACCCGCTCTTCAGTTTGAAAAAGCCATTTGGAAATTCGATTGGCTGCCTCGATGGAAATCCACCGTGGAAGTGAAGATTCGCATTTTCTTTCGTTTGTGATTCCTTTCGCTAGTTTAGTAGGCCTCGTTTTATGTTCTTTTTGATAGTACCAGAGAGTCTGATAGTACCCAAGGAGGTTAAAAGTAAGCTTTTTGTTTTAAGCTCCTTGATATTACCAGAGACCTCTCTGATAGTACTAACACTGCCGTTTCAACTTTCCTTCTGCAGCCAGGTCAAGTGCACTCGGCACATTTTTTTGCGGATTTCAACCACTCCTCTCTCTCTCTCTCTCTCTCTCTCTCTCTCTCTCTCTCTCTCTCTCTCTCTCTCTCTCTCTCTCTCTCTCACCTCTCTCTCTCTCTCTCACTCTCTCTCTCTCTCTCTCTCTCTCTCTCTCTCTCTCTCTCTCTCTCTCTCTCTCTCTCTCTCTCCCTCCCCCTTTCTCTCTTTGTATATATTATATATATATATATATATATATATATATATATATCTGCACATGATCTCTCTCTCTCTCTCTCTCTCTCTCTCTCTCTCTCTCTCTCTCTCTCTCTCTCTCTCTCTCTCTCTCTCTCTCTCTCTCTCTCTCTCTCCTCATTTTATACCCCCCTACTTTCGCCGGTCCCACCCCCTCCCCCACTCACACACACCACTGTAAACATTATAATATAATATTATGTGAAAGGGCTGAAACATGCAGTGTCAAGAAACAATATTATGAACAATGTATGATGGAATACTGAGATTAATAGAAAATGACTTGATCGGCATAAAAAAGGAACACGATTAGAGTCTATGCTAGAAAACAAACAGAAAGTGAGAAGCAATAAACTGCTAGTCATTTACTTTCTACACACCCACCCACAGTATCGATGTGCACTCGATCTGTAATTGTATAATAAGAACTGTCCAGTATGATGACAAAAAGTCAATTGATACTGTACCAGTGACGATGTCCCTTGCATATTAAGTCTACAATCAGATATTAAACTCGCCTAAAAAAAAGTCAAGGAACAACTCGTGTTTCCTCCTTTCAAATTTGAACTTCAATATCTCGCAAATCCGTTAAGTTCAGTCAACCGAACTTGGCACACGCACTGACGGCTAGACACAGTTCGCCTGT